TTTGTTATAATTTCTTCTCTAACCCTCATTTTAAAATAAAACTTAATTCATATTTAAAAATGTAGAATTTTGAAGCTATTGAAATAAAATTTATATAAGAAGATAAAAAATGTAATGCAAATGAAATAGTTGAAATTTTAATTTGATTTCTTTAACTTTACCTGCTGTTTTGTAACATTTAATTAAATAAGTGTCTTCGGAAACAACAGTGCTAAAGGCATTAACATTTCTCAAAACAATCAAATAAATTATGTAAATAGTTTTATCTTTATCCGAACTCAATTAAACCGTTCTTGTTTCCCCGAATGATCCTAGCGATTTATCTTTATCGAATCAATACCTCCCTTGCCACTTATCCCATATCATCCCTCTGAGACATCATCTCAGCATCCTCTCTACCCTCGGGCACTTCCCATGTCGCGCACTTCCATCGCGCAGCTCCGCCTCCAAAACACCAAGATCGTCATCGTTAGCCCCCTTAGAGGCCGCAATCTCAGTTATTAGTGCGCCGTTTAACTGAGTACTATGATGGCTTCCTCGGTCCAACTCCAATATCATCCCAACAATGCGCAGCCGCAGGTGCGTGTCTCTAATCACAGTAATCATCTTCGACACCCTTTCATTACAGCTTACGATTTTATTATCACTAATTCGATTACAGATGTCGCCTTTGAACCTCCTCGCCACCACATGCACCAGGATGTACGACCCCTACCCCCAGGTCTCCCCGGCCTCCACCACCTCCTGCGGCAGCGACGGCTACCTCCCCCAGGTGCCCCTCGAGCCCGCTCGCAGCCCACTCGAATTCTCGCCCCATTACCAGACCACCGCCTACCCCAACTACAACAACCAGTATTGGTTCCAAGGCGAGGTCACCCATCAACAGCACCAGTACCAATGGTCCCAGAACTACTACCCCGTCAAGGTCGAATACTCCTCAAATTACTCCTCGAAAGCGCGGCGCTGTATCAAATGCCAGTGCCCGAATTGCGTCAACGAGGAGGCCGGCCTCAAAAAACCCTCCACGAAGAAGGTTCATGTTTGCCACTACCAAGGCTGTGATAAGGTCTACGGGAAAACCTCCCATCTCCAAGCCCATTTGAGGTGGCACACCGGGGAGAGGCCCTTCGTGTGCAATTGGCTCTTTTGCGGGAAAAGGTTCACGCGATCCGACGAATTGCAAAGACATTTGAGGACTCACACGGGAGAAAAAAGGTTCGCTTGTAGCGTCTGTACCAAGAGGTTCATGAGGTCGGACCATCTGGCAAAACACGTCAAAACCCACAAGAATAAAAAAAGTGAAGTGAAAAGTGAAAATGGGTGCGGGAATGCGTTCATTACCATGGGAGAGCAATAATTGTTGTATTTTTGTACAGTTTGTAAATATCTCTATTTTTTCAATAAAGTTTTTAAGGTTTTTCATTTGCATTTTGATTACCGCGCGCCGTTAGAAAGCAATTAATTTCGGTGATTATGTTGAGAACTCGATTTTTAATTTCGATTTTGTGCCTCCTGGAAAATTATCTACAAACCGGTCATTTTCTGTCTTTTTACTTTCTCTGTAAGTATGAAATACCAAGGATCTGCGTCTTGTGAGGAATGTTATCTGCGAGAAATTAATTTTAATTATAAAATTGCATAATTGCACAAAGGAATGAGGGATTAAATGAGATGGTTTGAGTCGGTTTAACTCGTTTTGTTTTGTTTAATTAAAGACGAGGAAGTGCAATCTGAGCTAAGTTAGGTCAGGGAAGATTAAACTACAACTTCTTATTTTGTACAGCTTGAGGAAAAAATAGTTTGGCATTAATTTTGCCGACGATTGTACGTAATTGTTTTAATTAATGAAAAAAATACAGAAAAAACGATTTGAACTATTTTTGTTTCAAATTAATGAGTAAAAAACAATATTATTTTTAATATCTAAATTTTTGGGACATAACCAGTTTCTTATTTTTTTATCTATCTGTCATATTTCCATCCTTTTAGGAAAATATAAGTTTGAAAAAAAAACGCTATGTTGCAACACTAAAATAATTTGTTTCAATTTGATGTGGCCTATAGCTAAAACAAAATTGACTTAGTTTTAAATTTGATAGTACATTAAATAATTGGAGATGATTTTTCACTCTAAAAAAATTAAAAAAAAATATTTTCAATAAATTATTAGGTACCTATACCAGAGGTGAACAGAAAGTATGGAACCGAACGTTTTTTACTTTAAGGTATGTACTTGATTTTTGAAAAACTAATTATTAGTTGAAAAAAATGTGACGTTTTTCAAGAATAAAATTTTTGATTTTTTTTTGGTTTCCAGTTCTAAGTACAAAAAAAATATATTTTTTCAAATAGCAACTTACTATAAAACCTTTTTTTATAACAGCTATGATCTAAGAATTACATTGTATTCAATTTTTTATCGAAGAAAATTTTCATATTGCCATTAAAAAAATCAAATTCAAAAACAAATCAAAATTTCAAAACACGATCACAATTTTTATAGCGTTTTAATTTTATTAATTATTATTTTTGAAAGCAAATGATAAAAAAAACGTTTGGTTCTATTATATACTTTTTGTTCACCCTGTATAGTATTTTTATAGACAATAGATAAGATTGTCTCGATTGTCCATATACAGAATACGTCAGAACTCGCGTCCCAGAGAAAAATTTCAAATAAAATAAAATACCAGGAACATGAAAAAAAATTCTATCTGTCAAAACATTTTGACATTAATTTTTTGACATTTGACATTTTTTTATGTCTATTTAATGATACTGATGATCTTGTATATGTTTTTTTACAATTATTTAATAAAGGTACAAAAATTTTGCCAATAAAAGGCACAAATAACATTAAACAGAGTCACAATTTAGGATACAGCTTCCTTGTTTCCTCTTCTAATAGCTTGTAGCAAAAAAACTTGGAAAATTATTTTTTTACCAGAAATAAATAGAGTCAAAGTGCAAGATTTAATCTATCATAACTTGGAAATTTTTTTAGATAAAATTTTTTGAACATATTTTCCATGTTTCATGTTCTTACCTTATATTTTTCTCTGGGGCGCGAGTTCTGGCACACCCTGTATAGTAATTAGAAACATACCGTAACAATTTTTAAGAATTCTTTTAAAATTTCTGAAACTAGAATTGTTTAAAAAAATAAAATTTATTTTATTTTCAAAATATTTTATTTTTATTTCTTTACAAAATAATTTTAAAAAATATCTGATTTTCATTGCTGTTATTTCATTTATTAATTTGTTGAG